AAACCAAAATAGCTGAACAAAAAAAGCTAAGGACCTGCATCTGGGCTTTTGCCCTGCTGTGACCTCATATGACTTTCTAGGCTGAAGCAGAACAGAGGAGGAAATCAGCCCAGATGAAAGCCGGGATTTAATGAGGAATGAATCGGAATCATTGCTGAAAGACTAATTTGCTGGGGCTGGAGAGATGGCTCAGCAGTTAAAAGCACTGGCTGCTCTTGCAGAGGACCCAGGTTCAGTTCCCAGCACCCACATGGCAGCTAACAACCATCCATAACTCCAGTTCCAGGGGCTCTGACGGCCTCTTCTGAACTCTGTGGGCATTGCATGACATGGGTACACTTACATTAGACATAAAAAATACACATAAAAAATAGAAATAATAAAATAATTTTTAAAAAAGATAAACTCACTGGAAAACTGATGATACCACAAGAATGGGCTGGGCAGATCAAAGCACTTGCTGCCAGCAAGGGATGTCAAAGTCATACATTCACTCAGAGATGGATGCTCATGACAGCTCCAAGCAGGCCAGACAGAGGTCTACCCAAGGTAGGATGGGGAACTGCCTGCAGTCACACCATGGAATACTGTGTAACACTGAACATAAAACATCCTCAACATCAGTGACTCACTAGCATTGTATTGCATGAAAGAGGGAAGGCCCACAAGATGTCACGGACTCAAAGTCAAGAGCAGGCATCAGTGGGCACGGGAAGCCAGAAGACTGACTGAGGCTGGTAGCAGGTGGAGGCTGGGAAGGACGTCAGCTAAGCTTCCTTTCCCTGCTTTGTGTTATCCACAGAATCTAAAGCAATACTGCTGCCCACAGTTTCTGTTCACCCACCTGGATGCTGCCTTGAGTTCTTCCCCATGAGCCTCCTTCCAGCCCTGGGGCAGAGAGCACTAAGTTTAATGAGCACCTATTAAGTATTTGGTGCTGACTAAAATACTTCCCACTGCTACCTCATCCACTCTTACCAACCCATTGGGGAGATACTGTTACAGGTGAGAGAGAGAAGGAAAGGTTAACCGACTTGACTACCACCCCTCTGTCCCTCACAGGGTCACCCTGTAACACAAACAAGCTCTCTCTCACTTCCACCAGATGGCTGGTGTCTGTCTTCTGTAAGAGTTACCCATGGGCTTCTGGGATAGCCTCATCCAGGGATCAGAGACCGGCCTCTGTGTTTTGACTCTCAAACCTTAGAATGGAGTTTCCTTTTAAAGGTTACAGGCCAAAGTTGCTGCCAGAGTGTGGGCAAGCTCATCACATTCCAGCCAGCACAAAAGAGAAGGAGTCCCTCTTCGACGGGCTTCTGGAAGTCTGAGAAACATTCAGGTCCTTGACTAAGCTAGAGCCCTGGCCACAGGCAGTTCTGGAGGCTGGGAAACATCCATTCTTCACGGGGTGGCTGCCTCCCTGTCAGAGTCATGTTACTGGGTGCCACGAGGAGGGGAGAGGGGATGCTTGTATAGACACAGCCACCTCTCTAGTCAGGAATGTGAATCCAGCCAGTGTCTCTACAAGCCATCAATCTCTTCCTCCCAAGCGTGTCCCTCTGCCCTGCATTGTTTTCCAGGGAAGTGGCCACCTAGGGGCTGTAGAGGCCAGGGTGGGCACTGTGAGGCTGGGCCCCAGGGCGCTCCTGTCTTTTCATGCCCTTCCCTGTCTCCATTGCAGATCCCCAAACTCTGAAAAGTTCCCAGTTCCTGTGGCAATGGGAAGACTCAGCTTCCAAGGTCTAGGCCCCGGCTGAGGGCTCCCCAGCTCCGCTCCCACAGTCCACGGGATTGAATGAATGCAGTTGGTGGGCATAGGCGTCCTGCCCCAAGTAACACCACAAACTTCTCCAAATGACAAGTGTGGGACTTGGGCTACCTCTGAGGTCTCCTCTGATGCTATGACTCTGTGAATAGCTCACTCATGTGCCTTGGCCCAGCTCTGAGTCACAGGAGGGGACAGCAGTAGGGGACAGAGGCTGCACTGTCATGGGAGAAACCAGGCCAAAATTGTAAGGGGTCACAGTGGAAACCAGCTTGAATTTAACAGAACTTTGAAAGGTAACAGTTGATACCTGAAGTCAACAATACCAATAGTCACTTTGTGTGAAAAGATGATGACAGGGACCCAGAGAGGAGAAAGTGCTCGGCAGGAGTTCCAAAGCTCATCCCAGAGGGTGGCCTAGAGGGACTGGGGGTAGAAGGCCACATGCCCTGACACTGGACATTCACAGGGGGGTGCAGAGCCCAAGCTTTCAGTGGTCGAGGTTGCCCACCATTTTGCTCATTCTCCAACCGCCAGCTCTGGTGCCAGGGAGCCAGGCAGGGGGCAGCCTGAACTCCGGAGGAGGAATCTACAAGAGGTCCTATGCCTCCAGGCCTGGGATGTCCTCCAGCTTGGGAGTCACTTACTTCATGGGAGAGAAAGCCAGGCTATGAGAGGATCACAGGGGTCCTTGAGCATTTGCTTGATGTCAGGGACACCAGAGGACCCCCCAAAATATAGGCATTGGTCCAGTAGCCAGCACCCTCCTTGACTATGGTCCCCAGCAGTCGGGCACTGTACAGTCCAAAATTCATGAAGCATTTATAGAACTTTCTTTGGTGATACACTGGTGGAGACTTGTTGGGGAAGTTAGGGTTGCAGTCAACACTAGGCCTCCCTCCCTTGAACCAGACGTGGTACATGTATAGGAACAGGTGGGGTGTGGGGCGGGGCATAATGAAAGCAAGCCAGGCTGGGGTGAGGCAGGCAAGGCACTGACTTGCACCTTAACAATTTAAGAGGAGTCTATACCCTTAGAAATCACAATAAAAGTATTTTACCCCTGCTCACACCCCGTGTGGCCCCTGCCCTGGGTGACATCATGCTCCTCGGGTGGACAGCTGAGGCTTCTTCATAGGAGTGACTGGTGCCCCACTTAGCTGCACAGGACCCCTGTGGACCATTTATACCCTCTGTGTGTGTGTGTGTGTGTGTGTGTGTGTGTGTGTCTGTGTCTGTGTGTGTGTGTGTATGTGTGTGTGTGTGTGTGTGTGTGTATGTGTGTGTGTGTTTTGAGGCAGGGTCTCATTATGTAGCCCTTTCTGGTCTGGAACTCTATGTAGACCAGCTGGCCTTGAGCTCACAGAGATGGGATTAAAGGTGTGCGCCACCACGCCTGGCCTTCATTCACATCTTTTGCTGCTGGTTTAGTTAATATCCAGTTCCCTGCCTGACTTGGAGCTTGTTATGCAGGCCAGGTTTGTCTCCTCACAGAGACCCACCTGCCTCTGCCTCCCAAGTTCTGAGGTTAAAGGTGTGTAGCATCACGATCAGCCGGGTTTTTTTTCCCTTAGTTTTTGCATTTTCCTCAAACTTCATACTATTTTTAAATTAAAATATAGGATATCCCTGGATCCAAGTCTGGAAATAACTTGCAAACTTTGATACCCATAAAAATAACATTTACCCCAGTTATTTCTGTTCATTACTCAACATTTCACAGTTTGTTTGTTTGTTTTTTTCCTGCATCGATTTTGATAGGAAAATATTTCTTCCAGCATTTTCTAGCCAGGTGCCAACATGATCTAAGGAGCTGTTTACAAAATCCATCCTAATGATTTGCTAGTTTTTGACAAACCAATAAATCATTGGTGGAGAGGTGGCTCTGACTGAGATTAAATAATGAATCAAAACATTTATTTATCTACCCTTGGTTATGTGGCTTCTTCTGGAAATGAACTGGGTCTGTAAGAGCCTGCAGCTGGAACGAGAGTTAAACTCTGGGCATAGGGCAGGTCTGTGGCACACGCCTATAATCCAGGCACTCAAGAGACACAGGCGAATCGCTGTGAGTTCGAGGCCAGCCTGGTCTACATAGTGAGCTCCAGTCCCGTCAGAGCTATACAGTGAGACAGAGGTCTTGAAAACAAATAAACAAACACCACCACTATCAACAAACTCTGAGCACAGGGAATCAGGAGAAGCATGCTTTACTGTGTGGGGTTTGGCTTTGGTGGGATGTGGATCCAACAGTCTTCACCTAGACTATCAGTTCTTTGATTTTTTTTTTTTTTTTTTTTTTTGAGACAGGGCCTCCCTGTAGCCCTAGCTGGCCTGGAACTTTCTATGTAGATCTGACTGGCCTTGAACTCCCAGGGAACTGCTTGCCTCTGCCTCCTGAGTGCTGGGATTAAAGGCGTGCACCACAGCACCTGGCCAGTCTCTTATTTTTTATTTTTCCTTTGCTTGCTTGCTTGCTTTTGAGACAGGGCCTTGCTCCATAGCCCAGGCTAGTCTTAACCTCACTATGCAGCTATGCATAGAACTCCTGAGTGCTGGGATCACAGGTGCTCAGTACCTTGCCAGTTCGGGGCTGGGTCACTCTGACAGGAGCAATGGGGGTCTGCAACAGACACAGGTCTCCTGCTGCCAGCCCTACCCAGTGGCCATGGGCAGAGACTCTGAAGACTTAGGCTCCTATACAAGGGCCTTCCCAGCACAGAGACACCAGCCACATTGTGGGACCTGCCATCAACCCTGCCAGCCCAGGGCAGAGGCTCATTCAGGTAGTGATGAATGGCTGGGTTCAGCCCCATCTGGCTGTGTTTGGGTACCCCCTCCCCCAAGGGAGCATCAGTGAGCTTGACTTTGGCAAAACAGACTCTCCAGGCTGCTCCAAGCTGGAGGAGCCCAGGTCAGAACTCTGGTCCAACCCTGTGGTTGGTGTGCAAGTCGGGGCTTCTCCTCTTAGCTGTACGTGCCCTGTGTCATGTACCCTGTGTCACGGGCCCACCCAGCGCCCTCACCTCACTGGATCCCCAGGCTTCCTGGAGGGACAGGTAACCATGGGCCGCCTATCCTCACTTCAGGTCTTGTAGCTCAGAGAGGTCACAAGGCTTGTTTGGAGCACACAGCAACCGTGGACATTTTCTACCTTTACCATTATGATGAGGCCTATAGGGATAAGGATGGGATGGGGTGGGCTGAGGCCAGGAGGGGAAGACTCCACACTGACCTTCCCTGAGATGGTCTTGATCTGCTTGGAGCTCAGGGGCTCGAAGTCCACGCCAATGTAGCCCTCCATGGCGGCCAACAGACTCCTGCGCAAGCAGCGGGATGAATTGGCCTCCATGCGCACCTGCTCCCACCACGCAGGCTCATACCAGCCGGGGATGATCCACTGGTACTTGCTGCCGAACATACTCTCCTCGAAGGCCTGTGGAGATGGGCAGAGGTAGGGTCAGCAGGGCAGGTGCCAGGAGATGGTGCGGAACCCCGGGGAAATAAGGAATATGTTTGCTGGAGGGAAAGGGAACTGACTGTAGACAAGCAGATTGAAAGATTCTAACACTACACATAACAGCTGCATATTTCTCCATGAACTTCCTGGTCACCCAAGAGAAAAGGGCAACAGGTTATTCACAAAGTTCTGATTACCTATGAGGATACCAGGGTCTTTGGGGAACAGGGTTTCGTATGGAGGATGCTATCAGATCAGCTAGCATGTACCAACACCAGCTCTACAGTGGAGTTCTGAAAGCTACTGATTTTGTATTTATCTTTGCCAAAAGCTGAGGCCGTGCCTCAAAATCTAATTCAGGGAAGCATTTTCCAAGGGGTCCAGACAATTTAGTGTATTGAATAGATTACACAAGATGCCACCAGCAGACAGAGCCTCTCAGAACCCTTGCCCACAGAGACAGCCCCTCTGTCTATGCACACAGCCCACATCTTATTTGATTGACATTTACCTTCACCCAGTAGAGGAGGGCAAGGCTTATCCTCATTCTAAAGATGGAGAAACTGACAATCAGAGAGGGAAAGCAGCTTTCCTAAGGTCACACAGCAGGGAAGAAAGTCAGGCTTGGGATCTTGGCATGCTAACTTTTTTTGGTTTTTTTGGTCTTTTTGAGACAGGGTCTCCATGTAGCCCCAGCTGTGGAACTCACATAGTGGAACTCACTATGTAGACCAGGCTGGCCTTGAACTCACAGGGATCCACCTGCTTCTACCTCCCAAGTGCTGCGATTAAAGGCGTGTGCCACCATATCCAGCTAATTGGCATGCTAACTTTAAGGCCTCAGATGCATGGTGTCTTTTGCCTATTGAAGCCTAGAAGCTTCCAGAATGTTCTAATGTATCTTTATTTGCCATTTAGTTCTTACTGTAGCTACTTTGCATAGGTTTAAACACACTCAGAAATTCCTTAGGAGGAGAGGCCTATTCTTCACAAAGGGCTCAGGGTAAAGTCTCCCAGTACGGGTCACGTTCCTGTCAGTGACCAGATGCCTGGAAGGGATGTCAGCCTCTGTGGGGATGGAGACGCCCTTGGCGCTGCGATGGGCTACATGTGCCACTCTGGGAGGTAACGCGCTAACTTCTTGGTCACTTGAGAAAGCCCACCCCACAGTGTGAGGCACCCTGTGGGGCATCCTGTGGGGTGGGTATGAGTTAGAGGGTATGTTCCTCCATGTAAGCTCAGATGCCAGGCTGTGGCTTCCACTCACTGGTTCAGTGAAAGTTGGGAGGCTAACCAGGCATTAACAGCCTTCAACAGCTCTCCTATGGAGTCTGATGTTATCGGACTCTCACCTCTCCCGTTCTGCACACTATACCTCTCATGATGCAACCTCATGGTCATTTTCCCAGCAATTCCATTATAATGGTGCCCTAGTCAAAGTTGTGAGCACAAACTCTCCTTCACTAGTGTAACAAATTCACAGCTGAACGAAAGCAGCATCACAGACTGTTCTACAACAAATGGGATCATCTGCTGAAATGTTTACAAGAACAGGTAATGTTTTGTTTTTGAGACAGGGTCTCGCTGTATAGTTCAGACTGGTCTTGAACTTGTGATGCTCTGGAGCACAGGGATGACAGACTCCCGCCCTCGATGTGCAGGAGAGCTGTGCACACTGCCCAGCAGGGACCTAGCTGTGTGTACTGGCTTTGATTCTCCCAATAGTCCTGTGAGGTGTGTGCTGTCACCTCCACTGTATACATGGAGATATTCTGGCTCAGCTCAGAAGTTTCCCCAAACACACAGATGAGAAAAAGCAGCAAGACCCAAGGGCCATGTTGAAGTTCCCTTCTTTTAGTAAAACAAAACCTCTTTCTGGAAGCTTCTTCTATGTTAAAGGCCCAGTTTATAGAAAGACTTGTATAGAAGGTATGCACGGCTGGGTCAGACACCAGTAGCCTGTCAGCGCTCACCAGGACCAAGGGTGGTGAGCAGGAGGCAGGAGGAGCTAGACTGCGGGAGCAGAAAGCCAGGCCCACTGTGTGTGCAGCCCTCTGCCCACATGGCCCCTTGTGAGCTTCTCCGTGAGGAACTTTCCAGAAGGCAAAGTCCTCCTCTGTGGGATGGGTACAGGGGATCAGAAACGTACAGTGCTCTACCTAAGGACACACAGCTGGCAGAGCTGACACTATAGGCTCTGAATGCCGGGACAAAGGAGAGTCAGTCCCAAGATGGAGGAGACAAAGCAGCCAGCCTCCAGCCCTTCCTGGCCAAGCCAGCACAGCCCTGGGCTATAAATAAGCCTTGAGTTGGCTGGCTCCCACTTTCCCATTGGGTGGAAGCTCCCAGCTCAGGAGCACAGCAGGGTGCCACGTGTTTACTCTGCAGTGTTGGCTGGTGAAGAAGCTGTGTGGACATGCAGTCTGAGGGCACCTCACCTGCTGGCAGCTAGGTTCACATGATGACCTTTGTCACCAGACCCTGTGGTGACAGGACCATGGACCTCATCTAGGTTCACCCAGCTACTCTATCTCCACAGGTCCACAAGGTCTTCCTATCCTGACTGCCATCCCATACATTCAACATACATACAGTTTCTATATGCCTGCTGTTCACAGCCTCAGCCACGTTACTGACACAAAGGGACAAGAGAGCAGAGATCTGTGGCTCTCAGTAGAGACTGACCAAGAATAACCTTAGTCAGAGAGGTCAAGGTGATTGGGCAGACGTTGACTCACAGAGCTGGGCTGCCTCACAGTGCACCTTCCTCTTGACCTGAGTGGAGAAGGGGGAAGGAAAGCACCGGAATGGGACAGAGACAGACCAGGCTCCTGGGTAGAGCCTTGATCATCTACAAAAGGATGTGTAGATCACACCAGGAGTCAGGGCTGTGGGGAGAGCACCTCCACTCACCACATGGTGGCCAAGGGCCCTTGAGAGAAGACCCTCTCTGTGGATTATCCCAGCTCCTTTGTATGGTTACTAACAGTTGTGAGGCAAGGTACAGAAACACTTTGTCAGGCACTGTATATAACCTGGCTAATGCTAGAGGACCCAAGGGTGAGGGGCACAGAGTGAACAGTGTGACTTCAGTGTCCAGTTGAGTCCCTGTGGGACCTCTGACCTGTCCCTCCCAGCACCCCTTGATCTGCTGAGCTGACAGGGTCAGGACAGCCCCAAGGTTGGCACAGCAGGTCACATCCAGGAGGTGAAGATCACCAGCTCCTCCTGTGACTGTCGTGCTCTGCACACAGGGTTCCAGATTCCAGGAAGTCTGACTTGGGCTTGTGAAGCTAGGTGAACCTGAGACTCATGGTGATCCACTTACACAGCAGAAGACTTTGGCCGCCATGTTCTGGTCAAACTGGCCAAGGATGATCCTCACGTCGTTCCCCTGTGGGCAGAAGAACACGTGCAGGTGAGTAACGTGAGTCTCAAGTCTGGGCCAGGGGACAATGCCACACCCAAGCTTCTGGCTCAGAGCTCAGAGGGAGGTGAAGTTACCCTGTGCTGTGTCTTGAGGGCTGGCCATGTCTCTCTGGGCTGATCTGCAGTACCCCTCCCAGTTTCATGGGCAAGACTATACATGGAGTCTCCCCGCTCCCTCTCCTAAGCACTTGGGGCCACCTTGAATCTTCTATCTCACTTCACTGATAGGGAAATTGAGGCCAGAGAAGGGTGATGGAGCTGGGACCAACCACAGCCAGCACACTCCTCACAGTATCCTGGAATTTTCTGTCCTCTTGACAGTAGGTCCCTCAAAGCCTTCCAAATTCACAGCCTGGTGAGGTGCTTAACACATTCCCTGGCACACAGCAAGCAGTTGGCAAGTGCTGGCTAGTCACAAGTCTAACTCCCACAGTTCATCTTTATTTTGGCCTGCAAGCTCCACCGTGAGACTGCACTTGCTAGCTCAGTGTGGCTAACAGGTATGTGCTGCAAAGCAAAGCCCATGTAACACATTCATTCACTCAACAAATGTTTACCAAGCCCCTGCCCAAGGGCTCCTTGGAGCAGGGTAGCAGCTCTTGGCTACTTTCTGGGCCCTGCCATCAGGAGGTCAGCCAGGCCCTAGCTGGCACCTGCTCCCACCCAGTGGCTTTGTAGGAGGTGCCACCTCCTTGCTGGCCTTTGTTCCCTCCAGAGACCTCAGGCCCTCTGATGGGGAAGAGCAGGAAGCATGCCTTCAAAGATCAGTTTTTAGCATCTTTCAAAATTGGAAAATGCTGACGGGAGGCCATCTTACTCATCATGTGCGTTTGCAAAATAAAGAAGGTCCTGTGCTAAAACCAGCCTTCATCTGCAGGCAGGAATGGAAGGAAGAGGGAAAAAAAAAAACCCGCACTCGCTCAGAAAAGGACTTTAAAGGATCGTTTGCAGAGGCTGGAAGAAGGCAAGTCTTTGTCTTCGCCACTCTCCAGTGCTATAAAAAGTTCCAAGCCTCTTCCGTTCTGTGGACCAGCTCCTAGGTGTGCGCCAGCATCATTCTGCTGGCAGGTTGAAATCTTTTAGAATTGCTTACTGCTAACAGTGTTCATCTGTCCATCCATCCATCCATCTACCCACCCATACCATTCATCCATCCACCCATTCCTCCGTTCATCCATCTATCCAACCTATCCATCCATCTACCCACATACCCATCTATCCATCTATCTACTCATCCATCCATCCGGCCATCCATCCATCCATGCCTCCCTTTCTCCTCTTCCTTCTGTCCCCTCCTTTCTGTAAGCTTCTATCATGAGTGTCCTTCTTTCCTCTTTACTCTTCTGAGGAACTGTCACTCACCCCTCAGCTTAGCTGATTGGAGAAGCCATGTTACTGACCCATTAAGCTTAGTGGGCATCTCTCCTTTGGGCTAAGGGCACCTGTATATCCCTCCATTGTGGCTCAAATACACTTACTTATTTGTTTCTCCTGACCCCAGGGCAGTGTGACTCCCCTCTGGTCCCCCGGCTGGCAGAGGGCCAGTGATATATAGTGATAAGCCTGATACAGGGTAAGGATGCTGAGGCAGTACCAGAGCCCACAGTGGGCCCTCGGCTGCTCAGTAGTGGGCAGGCATGATCATCACTGTACTGATACCCTGCTAGTGCTAGGACCTGATACCAACTGGGTTCACAAGTCCATTTCTCAAATAGACCAAGGGACCCACATCTTCATGACTGGCCACCAGCTGACAGATAAACAATTAGCTCTGCTACTCATGGTCCGTTTAGTATCTTTGTTGCCATGACAACTATACTGCAAGGACCTTTTGGTTCTAGGCTCTCAGGCTGTCAGGTTTGGATGGGCCTGAGGAATCGTGGGTCCAGGGAGTTGCTTTCCATGGAGGTCAGCTGCACAACACTAAGAGCTGGACTCTCACTATGGTCCTGGGACCCTCAGAGGGCCCTGGAGAAAGACCCTGCTGGAAGTCAGGAAGCCCCAAGGCAGGAAGCTATTCCTGCCCACTTTGCTTCTAGAGAGTGGGAGGAACTTCTTCCCAAGCCAGCAGGGAGGAGCCTGGGATCCAGGGAAGAGAGTGAGAGGGAATCTGGTCCTGGGCTGTGTATGGGGGGGGGGGGCGGGGGGGGCGTTGCTGCCTTGAAAGTGAAGAATTCCTGCCACTTCTCAGATGGAACAGGACATGTGCACCGCTGGACTTGAGGAAGCATCCCGAGGGTGTGAAAAACAGTTCTGGTTCCTCACCCTGGAAGGTCTGGGGATGAGGAGAGGGTCTGGGCAGTATCAACAGTTCCTACATAAACCCCACACCCACACAAGTTCCAGAATCATGCTTGACACTTTCCAGAACGCAAAACTTTTTCTCAAAGTCCAGAAGGTAGAAAAAGAAAATTCAGATAGGTAATGGCCCTACCTCTGGCCAAGGCCCCTCCCTGCTTGGGCTAGAGCTTCATCCTCCTTGTCAAAGGGTCTGGGGTAGTTTAAAGAATACTGAGAGCAGAGCCAGGTGGAGCAGTCCTGTAATCTCAGCTAAAGCAGGAGGCTCACAAGTTCAAAGACCACCTGGGTCATGAGAGCCTATAGCTTAGAACTTGCCTAGCATATGTGAAACACTAGGTCCAAGCCCCAGTGCTGAAAACTAACTAAACAAACAAGCAAATACATACTGGGCATAGGGAGGAAGAATCAAGAGTGGCCCTGTAGACCAGAGTAGCAGGGCAGGTGATCTCTACCTCCTGTGGCAGAGGGTGGCAACTAGAAAATCCTGACCTTTCATGAACATAGCTCTGCAGGGGCCTCTCAGAGTGAAAATGGATGAGGCAGGACAAATAACCAAATAGCCACTTCCCAGATGGACTTGGGTTTAATGCTTATATAGAGGCCTGCATTTACACCGTAGGAGACCATTGCCCCAGGGAAGTACAGCCTGGAAGGAAACAGCCAAGGGTGGAGGCAGGAGCTAGGGAGGGGCTGTCGAGTCCCACCCAAGACTCCCACTCTCAGAATTCCCACAAAGGGTTGGGGTATGAGGCAGAGGCATCTGGGTAGGAGCCCAGGCTTGTCCTAGGCCTGGGTAAATGTCCTTTCTTCTCTCTTGTTTCCCTCTCATTTCTTGTCTAGAACCCGTTTGTCTCCAGGGTGCATACACGGACCTGAATATCATGTGTATGTGCGTATTCTCGTTCTCTCTCTTTTCCTCCCTCTCTCCCTCCCTCCCTCCCTCCCTCCTGGACCACACAATTCCCAGAACTAGTATAACCCCAGTTTACAAGGACCCTAACACAGGAAGAATCCCCACGCTCCATCAGGCTGGTGAATGGCATCTCAGCCCTGACCTGGGAGGGACGCCATGGTCATGCTCTCCTTGAGCAAACCCAGGCTTGAAGAATTCAGCATTGGAAGCTGGGGTCCCTCTGGACCCCAAGATGCAGTGAGCATGGCTGTCAACAGCTCTACCCTTTGTCTCATCTCTAGAAAGTGCCTTCAGCTGACGGGGGAGGTCACACTACACAGACCCTCAGACAGTACCTACCAACTGACCATGGGGAGAAGACTTCAGAGTGGCTCTGTGGGGTGTCTGCTGGCCCTCTGGACTAACCCCCTCTGCTCATCCTGCTTCTAGCATTCTCCCAAGGGCATGCCCTCTGTCAATCATGTTCACACAAATCCCAGGCTTACTTCCAAAGAACTTTAACCCAGGACTCCAGGGCACACAGGTGGGAAGTGTGGCACAGGCCTGTATTGTAGGTTTGCAAGGCTCAGAGCCTCAGGGCTGTCCACTTCCTCTGCCTACAGTTCACCGGGCTGAGGAAGAGAACCTCATCTTGGCCTGGGCTGCAGTGCAGAGTTCAGCATCCAATCTGAAGAGCCGCTTATGGAGAAGTCAGGTAGATGGTGAGATGTTTGTCTACAGTCACGAAAGAGGCAGGAGTGTACCACGAACCCCCCCCCCCGGCACAGCCCACTAGCCTTCCTGCTTCTGGAGTGCGAGGTCCCAAGAGGGAAATCAAGGTTGCCCCAGCAGTGATCTCTGAGTCATCTGGACTTCCCTATATGCCTCCTCCCTTGTACCATGGGGCTGGCAAAAACACAAGCCCATGTATCACTCTGAGAGGTGACGTGAGCCAACAAGCTTACTAGGGGCTGGCCTGATGAAGCAGCCTGGCAGGGCCCACAGGGACCTATTCCAAAGTCTTGGGCTGGTCATCCCAGAATGAATACTCTCTTGTTTAATCAAAATTTATTCCCCGACCTCCAGCAGACATGCCCCTGAAGGCACAGAAGCAGGAAATGTGTCCACATACTCCAGAAAGAGAGTAGAGAGGGGACAGCCCACAGCTGCCCACCAGCAACATGTGACATTCTTTAATTTGTGTATATTTAGCATTCCAATAATATATCTAGCTTCAGATAAAAATAATGTTTTTCTTCTTGTCTCTGAGCAAAACTGGCCTCAGGGCCAATGCTCCATGGTTACTCTGTTACTTGTGCATCCTGGGGGCTGGGTAAAACTGTTTCCAGAGTCTTGTGCACCCTGGAGTCTGGGTAAAACTGTTTCCAGAGGTCGCCTTGGGCTTCTGGCTTGAATGTGTATGTGGGTGGTTAACTGGGGAAAAGGGGACAAAGGAGCACCCAATCCCGGGATCCTTCCATGGAACAGAGGCTGGGGGGAGTCACCTGGAAGTTACGTATATCATGGAGGCCTCCCACAGACATACATGTCCCATTCCTAGGGTCTGTGGGAATATGATGCCCCATGGCTAGGGGCTCATGCTTTGGGTGAGGCTAAGGCAGCTGGTCTGAAATGGGGAGGATTTCTTGGATGATCTGGGTGGGCACAGTGTTATCACAAGGGTGCTTATGTGTGGAAGAGACAGGCAAAGTGACAACTGGTGGCTCTGAATAGGGACAGAGGAAGAGGCCATTAGTCAGGAGGCTGCCTCA